ACACAGTTTTCTCATTACTTAACCATTTTGTGTGATCCAGTTTATGCCATTTCCATCTTTTTCTTTTCATCTTCTGAAAAAAATGTCTTTCATCTGTATCTTCCTCCTTTTGGACGACACAGAACCTTTGTTGGTTAGGGCCCTGGGTATGCGTGGGTAACCCCGATGCCCATGTAAAGGCTGTGGACTTTTAGAGCCTCGGTGTCAGTAGATGAAAGCAGAGGGAGATTCTGGGGCTGGCACCCATCTCCTTCTGTCCTGCCACCATGGCCTCTTATTTCACAGAGAAAATTAATAACTTTGACAAACATCAATGAGCGAGGGCCTGATGCTTGGTTGGCTTGTCAGCTGGCCTGGTGACTGTGTGCTGTGTGCACATGCCTGCATATGTGTGTCTTTTTTGTGTGTCTGTTTTTCCATGCTTTTGGAGCCTAATATGAGTGTCTATATGTTTTAGCTGATACCTTGCAGCATGCAAACCATTTAAATGTCTGGAAAAAAAAAAAAAAACAAAAGATGACAGGAATAGCACAGGTCAAAGAAACTGACAGCTTGATAAACGGTTTTGGGAGAAAAAAAAAATAAGATTTTGGTTTGAGATCAGACTTCCATTTGGTTTGACCTGATCAGAAAGCTGTCTCCTTGAAAGGCTATGGTGTCTTTTTAGGGGAGCATAACTTAACTAAAAGATGAATAGATTTAGGGAGAGATGACTGGATTGGAAAACGTGACCACTTCTGAAGCATTGTCGACAGCCACACTGAAAAAAAAAAAGACGGTTTTCCCTTGAACCACTCCTGTATTTATGATCTTCAAAGGAAGGATGAGACACACACTCACACGCACCAACTGGCACCCACAAAATGATTATACTTAAAGGAAAGCCAAGCTTCTGCAAACCCAGGTTCACATATAATTTGTATAAGGATTTTCAACTGCAAATAATCAACAGGAATTTCGCTCACACTTTATTACGACATACATTGTGCTGCGTCATGACACTCCTCCTTAAAACTGATTTAATATGGCCTAAAATTAATTTGATTCCATTTTACTGAACTGTACAAGTTGGTGACAAACAAAATCACTGCCAGGATGCCTTAGTCTGGACATACAGGCAAGCTTACCTGAAAAAAAGGACCTTAAGAGGCTGAAAACACTCATGTCATCACAGAACCTACAGCGGGTTCTTGAAACAGAGTGGGTCAAGTTTATTTTGGATTTAAAAGTATTCAAAATACTTGGATGCATCTGTGCTGAAACAGTCAAATCAAATTTGTTAGTATTCTCATTCTCAATAAATAAATATTAAAAAGTTAGATTTGTAGTACCTGTTAAAATTCAAGCAGGTCTTTAAGTTCAAAAACGTCAGAGTCAAAGAGGGCCATAGAGTGAGAAGCATTGCCATGTTTGGAAAATCAAACTCTAAAAACTAAATAGTTAGTGGCCTGTTCTTTATCAAGTCTGATAAATCAAGACACGGATGGTGGCGAGCTATCTCGTAGCCAGAACTGCCCTGGCGCTGATAAAAGTGAGTTTCCTAATCAATCAGTGCCACTAACAACTGACAGGTAAGGAGGGTGAAGTGTCTTGATTTAGGACACAACAAGTGAGACAGACAGAGTGGAAGTTTGAACCGGCAACCCACTGGTTACAGAACAAATCCCTACCACCTGAGCCCCATTAAATCTATAGAAAACCAACAGGGAAAGAAACACTTTACATTTAATCTGAATTAATTAATCTTACAGACAGCAAGGACGGTCAAAAATTAAAGAACAAATAAACACCACCATGAAATATAAAGGCTTGTCTAAGTCCACATCTGACAGTAGTTCACTAGGTGTAAAGGAAGATCCAGACCCATCATTATATGTTTAATACAGTTAAGTCTGAAATAATTTATACCTATTGCAGATTAAGATTTAAAAATCTCTCCAATCAACCAAGAAATCTGTTTCTGATGTGAAATAACAGAAGCATTTTGCTAAAGATTAGAAATCAATATAAAAGATTTAAAATTTTGAAAATAGTGTTTATTTTTATTGAACAGTTTAAGTTTTAAAAATGGCTTGTTGAAACTGATTTATACCTTTCTCAATTACTAATGGAAAAGTCTTTAGTTTGAACACAGAATGGTTGCCCAGATGCATCAATGTTTCCATCTATATTTTTCACAGAGTTTGAAAGGAGCCCAAAGTCTTTGATGTAGCCTTCCTTCATTATCTGACTTTATTTTCTAATAGGTACTAATTACTGGTTAGCTGCCATACTGAGCTAAATCAAGCCACTTCTATCTTGCACGACAAGATTTCTTGTCAAAACACGTCTCAATATTCTTTTTGAAGGTACCTATCACCTGACAAAAACATATTGTTTATGAAAAGTGCAAAGTGTTATAGATAACCAAGATAACCTCTGTTAATTGCTGAGCTTCAGAGATGATAGTGGTGGATTAGGCAACCTTTGGACAGAGGTCTAATACACCCTGTGTCTTGTCTAGAAGCTGGGTTACATTTCCTTTGGCTGTTTTTTTTTTTTGAGTAGTAAACCTTCCCCTCACATACTCACATTAGGACAAACCAATTAAAATACAACTGAAAGAAGTCAACTAAAAAGTGGCTGTGCCATCTACAGTTCACACTTGAGATTCTGGTGATGCTTCTTTATCATATCATATATCAATTTTTGTCATATGTGTCCTGTCTGGCAGTGAAGCTCTCAGAATTGTAGCTCCCTGAATGCCAGAGCGAAACCCAACAGATTTACTTTCACAAGTGGCACATTATGGCTTCCACTGCAATCCTCTGACCTGTTTCTCATCAGAAATTTCTTATTAGAATTTGTTGAGTTCATTTCAAATGGAATCATTACAAGATTGGATGGAAAAGAAAACAAAACTCTAATAAATGTTCTATATGTTTTTTGCTTAGACGCAAAGAGACATTCTGTACCCGCAGCAAAGTTCAACTTTATCACAGCCTTCTTACTTTATGGAGGTGGAAACTTTACCATCTTAATGGCAATTTTTGATTCTGTCAAACGTTGTTTGTTTGTTCCCCCCCAGGAAAGTTTCAATTTACACAAGTGTCCAAAGAGGTTCTATTTTAGCTGGAGGGTAAACACAGCTATAGCTGGCTGTTTACTGTTTGGGAATCCTTCTCTTTGCCCTTCTCTGTTCCGCCTAGATACACGAAAAAAGCAGCGGTGCAGTAAGAAATTCTTTATGGTGTTTACACCCACAAATAATAAAACACAAATTGTGGAAAACCCTCAGCTCTGCACAGTTCAATTCATTCAAAGGAGGCAGCCCTGAGAAACAGTGGTGAGACCACTGATTTTCTCCTGGCAAATATTTGAAGAGCTAATTTGGAGGGACTGAGTTTGCTGATGTGCATGTGTGTGCTGGTTTTCATGTGTGTCATGCACATGCAGCCAGAAAACTGGGAACTAAAATGTATTGCATCAAACACACGTAGTATCTTTAAAAGTATCGTTTTCACATTTGACGTGCTACGACCACAAACTTAATTGTATTTTATCGGGATTGTATGTGTTAGCGAAATAAAATAATCTGTGTTTGTAGAGAAATAGAAAAAACAAAATGATTCATGGTTTTGGCTCACTGCTGAGCCAGTACTTTATGTACCTATTTTTAGTGGTAATTGTAGCTGGACGTCTTTGGGGATATGTATCTAAGAGTTTCACATATTTACTGATTGAATTCTCAATTCGATTTAGGTATGTACTTTGACTTGATCATTCTAGGTTCATAAATATGCTGCACTGTAACTCTGACTATAGGTTTAGGGTCATTGTGAAACTGAAAATTTAGCATCTTTTGCAGCCTCTGACAGACAGGATTTCCCTGACTTTAGCTCAATCCATCTTTGCTTCAACTCTGAACAAAGAGTTGAAGCATTTTTTTGAAGAAAATCATACCCACAGCATAATGCTGACACTACCATGTTTCAACATGTTTCACTTTTTTTTCTCTCTCCATAGAAGTTACATCGGGTCTGAAGTTATGTTTGGCTATAGTACCTTCCCAGAGGGAGGATCAGCTGAGATACTGCCAACAACTAAACGCTCTTCTTCTCCTGCTGTTAACTTTTTACTTTTCATTCAGATAGAAGATAGAAACTACATTGATATAATTATCTGAGCTTAATGTACTGTTTGATAAATAGGGCCAATTGGAAAGTCTGTGTAGTTAATTTGTGTGTTTAGGAAGATATGGAGTGTTTTTTTTTTTTTTTTTTTTCCACAATACTGGGTTTTGTTTGTAGGCCAGAAACAAACATCTGATCAGATGACAACAAAATGAAGACCAGCGTTCCTTGGTCTTCATTATGCTGCCTTTTCACCATTGATCACCAACAAACCTCTGAGGTACAAACAATTGCATCTTTTGCTGCCTCTTTGGTAGGTTTGGCAGCATAATAGGGTTTATGTTGATGCATGATTGGAAATGGTTATGCGTTTTACCCTCATAAGCTGTTGCTGCTGTAAGTAAATCAACCAGACATTCAGTCACCCAATAAATCAGTGAGTCATTTAAGCAGAGGATTCTACTTCTCTACTGGTAAACAGTCAGACAACCAATCCCCCTCGATCACATGGGGTTGGAATCCAGTTGAGAGAAACTACCGGCAGCCTCTGCGAAATTGATTAGATTAATTGATTTTGATGTTTAATGTCAAAAACCGTTCATCAACATGGAAGGTGGTCAAGGACAAAGACAGAGAAGGAACCGTGGGGAAAGCCCTTAGGCTCTCCTGCCTTCCAGCAGATGAGGACCGGACTCTCCAGTGCGCCCTGTGCCCAGGAGGGGCGGGTTTGGGTGGCAGAGCGCAGGGACAGCGAGCGCAGAGGGAGAGAGGAGGAGAAGAAGGAGGGGAGGGCAGGACTGGCAGGGTGCGGTCTGAAGTGGCAACAGATCACTGTGGATCACCCAATTCCCTTCAATTCAACTGGAAAGCTGCAGCTTGTCGCATATGGAGAAATCCAGAGCAGGGCATCGAGCAAAAAGAGCGCACAAGGGGCCGATGTTCTTCCAGATACCCTGGTGCACAAGAAAGAGGAGGGCAGAGAAACCACAACACTGCAACTTGGATGTCAGCAGCCGCACTCTCTCTCTTTAACTCTCACACCCACCAAATCGACTTTGAACCTGTTTGTTTAAATACACGGACTTTACAGCCAGCACACTTACTGCTGATTCCGTCAGGCGGCTCAGAGCGGAGTTCCTCTAGTTTGTAGACGTACAAAAAAAGAAAAAAAAGAAAAAACAAACTTTTTTGGTATTCCAATGGTGCCTCATGGAGACCAGGGGATGACCTTATTTCATCCAATATTTTCAGACGCTGTGCTTTATTTTTCCCGGACAAATGGAAACTAAACCGGAGTGGCACTGAAGACATCTCTCTCTCTCTCCCCCACGGGAGAGTCCTCCCTCCTTTCCCCGGGGCGATGCGGATCTCCTTCCTCCTTCTCGCAGCCTCTCTGTGCGCCTCTGTCCTCCTCCTCGCACCTGCTTCGGAGGGCTGCGGGCCGGGGAGGGGATACGGCAAGAGGCGGCTCCCCAAGAAGCTCATCCCGCTCGCCTACAAGCAGTTCAGCCCAAACGTGGCCGAAAAGACCCTGGGAGCGAGCGGGCGACCCGAGGGGAAAATTACGCGCAACTCCGAGCGCTTCAAGGAGCTCACGCCGAACTACAATACAGACATAATCTTTAAAGATGAGGAGGACACGGGCGCAGACAGGCTTATGACTCAGGTAAAGCTGGGTGCGGGAGGCGGGATACGGAACAGGGTCTTATCTCGGTTAAAGTGCCATTTTCGAGATCATTTTGTTTATCAGGGAGATCAAATTACACTGAGCTGAATGAACCAGATTAGCCACGCTGCTGCTTCCAATTGTCTGCTGAATGTTTGCTGTCAGTTGAATGTTTAAACCAAAGTGATTGATTCCATTAACTCTTGGTTTCACCTCTGGATTCTGCTACCTGACATACTTAGCTGCCGAGGCTGCCTTCAAGTGTTGCCTTCACTGACCCCAATCTGGCTATAATTTTCCATTTGACCGGACATAAGTGAATCATTGGGAAGTAGTCCTAACCCTCGATTCATTTCATGCTTTCGCATAAGAGACATCTATTTTTATGCCGGTTGCATCCTGCCAGCTTGAGCAGTGGTTATTTTACGCAATAACCTCTCATATTTGCAAATCATTAAAATGCATGTCCACTCCTTGACTTTCAGCCTGGTTTGTGTATTCGCATTGAATGGATCTCAAGCAAACACCGCAATCACAGTTGTGTGTACTTTGACCATTCACCTGACACAGTTGGAACTCGCAGCAATTATTTGAAGTACACATATTGTTATACTCATAGACTCAACGTTTTGGTTTCAGTGCATAGCTTTTTTTTTGTTCTTCTTTTGTGCTCTTTATGCTTTTTTTTAACTATTTAAAAGAAACATCTATTGAACTGATATGAGTTGTTTTAAATTAAATGATACTTCTAGAGTCTGTTGGTCAATTTTTGGCATTGCTGAATCACCAAAAAGCCAAACTCGTTGATCAAAATTTGGTCTCACAGAGTCAGCTTTTCGGCCCATCTTTTTTATTCTTCTCGTGAAGATCAATCTGGCTTTGTCTTTCTCTGTATAAAAGTATCTATTTCCTGAACAAAACCATAATCCTTCAACTAGATAAATGCGCATGTAATTCTCACTCTTGTACTACTGGCAAAGTGCTTTTTGATTTATTGTGCCTCTCTTCTAGATAAAGACAGTTATGGAGTCGTATTTATCACAAAGTCTATTGTTTCTTTGATCATTGTATGTCTGCACTGTTTTCTTAATTCCCATCCAGCTCTGGCATAAGCCCCCTCCTGGGCCAGATCCTCAAAGACATTTCTACAGAGTTACTTCTGTCCACTGTCTCCACGTGCTTGCTCATAATGAGGGATTGTTGTGTACTCAGTGACTCGGTGTGATCGGATGGGTTGTTGTTTTAACATAATTTAGCAATATCACTCCAACAGAACCAAGGTTATTCCTGTTAAATGGGAGTCAGTCTTTTCTACTGTCACCTCATGCTTGATAAGTGATTGATTTAAGTGAATTTTTAAACTTCCGCTTTGGAATCACTAATGTGTTTTTTGATTCAATTGAATTTATGCAAAATGAGTGATTCAATTCAAACAGTTGGGCTCCCTCAGATAAACGTTTTATAAATTTATACACTACTGCACCATCACACTCGAGCACGAGTTCTGATATTTAAATAACATCTATTGTTAAACATTTGCAAATACAAATTTAGAACCAAAACCAGAGGTACAAAAAGCTTCTCGACTGTTACCTCTTTAATTGTATCTTAAAGTTGTTTTTTTATTGTTTCTTTGTTGCTAAAGCTTTACACTTTACTCTTTTTCAAGCACTTTGGTCAATACATAACTGATTTTAAATGTACATAAAAAAGCTTTGATTGTGTTTGAGTGTTTTATAATATGACTATGATCAAATACAAATGTAATTGATTTTAAAATGATTTAGGAGTAGAATATTTTGGATGGGTTTGTTCATATGTTCTTATAAAATGAATTTCTTTGGCTAGTTTTGTGAAGTGCTTCGAGAGAGTATTTGTGGTGAAATGGTGCTCCATAAATAAACCGAACAGAAGCTGAATCGTCCTCGATTGTTTTTCTCTAACTTCTATTGGTTTTTCTTTGTCTCGCCCAGCGTTGCAAAGACAAGCTGAACTCTTTGGCCATCTCTGTGATGAACATGTGGCCAGGTGTGAAGCTGAGAGTAACGGAGGGCTGGGATGAGGATGGTCATCACTCAATCGACTCGCTGCACTACGAGGGGCGTGCTGTCGACATCACCACCTCAGACAAGTAAGAGAAACAAGCTTGATACACATTTCGAGACTAACATTTAAACTCTTTGAAATTATGAATGATTTGTTATTAAACCTATCAATAAGCTAACATGTGAAGCTTTCAAAAAGCAAACTATATGTACTTCTAAAATCTAATTGTGGAACTGAATATTTCTTGACTTTTGCAGATGTCTTTTTTTTTTTTTGCTATTTTGATTCAGACCTTTTTCTCTGATAGGGACAAAAATAAGTATGCCATGTTGGCCCGCCTGGCTGTAGAGGCTGGATTTGACTGGGTCTACTATGAGTCTAAAGCCCACGTTCACTGTAGCGTGAAGTCAGGTAAGAACTACCTTTATGTGTATTTCAAAGTGTCTTTTTGTGTTTGCGGCCAGCTGTTGTTAGCACTAATGAGGTTGATGCGAGACACCTTGTGGGGTGACTCCCTACTTGTGCAGCCTCGCTTTGAGCACCTGTGTTATCACTTTGTGAAGGTGTTTGTGTGCAAAGCCTACTGGGAACCAATCAAAACAGGGTGTGCACCTGTGATCTCTGCTTTATGCAGTCTCATCTTATCGTCAGGGCTTATGATAAATTTATCAGTTTATCAGAATTTGGCACGTATACTATCTGTGCTACATACCTATTTTTCCAGAATGTAGTGCACATATGAAAATGCCGTGCCTATTAAAGTATTCCTAGTCCTTGACATTCATAGTTTGCTGCAGTTCTACCACAAACTTAAACATACTTTATTGGTAGTCTATGTGACAGGCCAACAAAAAATAATAGACAAAGTGGGAAGAATACATGATTTTCATTTACTGCTATACTTTGATACCTTTCAAAAAATTTGTGGGCCAACAGGTTGCATTTAGATATCATTGAATTATGAAATAGTAAGTAAAGATCACTGCTTAATCCGTCATCATCAAAAGAATCACAGGAAATATGTGGAAGAAGATGCCCTGGTTAGATGAGACCAAATTTGAACTTTTTGGGTTACATGGAAGAAAACCATAAACACAACATGTCTGCTTAGAAACATGGTATTGGTAGTATCATGACGTGGAGATGTTTTTTTTTTTTTAAAAAAAGGGTGATGGCAGCTGATTGGAGTTGGTGACGTGGCTAGAGTTAAGTTGAGGGCAATCCTGAATGAAAACCTGAATGACTGGAGCGGAGGTTCGCCTCACACTGATGACCTAAAGCTGATGGAATGGTTTAGATCAGGGCGGTGTCCACCGAGAGCTACTATCCTGCAGTCGATGCACGCTCAAGTCAAATGAACGGCTCATTGCCAGTCCTCTGCAGAGCCGAGTGACGTACTAATGAGGGAATTCAGCCATTTGATTTGTGTGTGTTGGAGAGTGGATACATGGATGATCCTGAGGACTGGACTTGGGGAAGCCCCCGGTTTAGATCAAACCATATTCATATGTTACAATGACACTGTAAAGCACCAGAGCTAAATTGGATTTAAGTTCAGAGATGCTGTCCGACTGAGCTTAAGCTGTGTTTTTTTATTTTTTATTTTTTGAAATGGACAACTGAATTTAAGTCTGTAGATGTGAAAAACTGACATTACTCAAAAGATCTGCAGAAAAAGATCTGCAGCTCTAAATGCAATGAAAGATTTGAGTCAGGGGGACTGAATACAAATTTGCACAACACTTTTCAGATTTTTATTTGTAAATGTATTATGTAAAATCTGCATCGATTTTCTTCTCCTTCATAGTTACCCACTATTTTTTTTGTTGATCTATAACATACAGTCCATAAAAATGCTGTGGTTGACACAAGACAAAAAGTTGAAAAGGTTTGAGGGACATGAATACTTTTGAAAACTACCGTACGTCCATCTAGTCTAAATGTGAATGCCTTGGTTCCATTTCTGACATGTGTTGTTACAGCTAAGTTACATCTTCCACCACAGATTCTTTGCCAGATTAGATTTTCCTAAAAACAATAAGTGACAACATTCCATGTAACTTTTGAAACATTTTAGAAACCCATATACCCACGTCTGGTACCACCAGTTATTTGATGCCAAACCACACTCTAGCAGTCTGCCTAGGTTAGTAGGCTGTGAGATGATTAACTCTCTCTTTGTTTTTGCCGTTGCTTTGCCTCCAGTGAGTTTCTTTCAGATCTCTTATCTGAATCTTATCACAGGCCTCCTTTTTGTGCAGCCTTCGGGCTTACAGACCCACACACACCTTGAACAAATATTTGGCTGACTTGGGACTGCCTTAAGACAAGCCTCCCTCACAGACACACACACACACATATACACACGTAACTATATGTACGTTTATACTGATTGATTTCTTATTTCTGTCAGATTTAGTCGGATTTTTTTTAACCTCACAGGAACCAAAAATAAGGATGTCACTTGGTTTAAATCTCTGCAGTCCAAACGGTATCTAGAACCACGTTTGAGTCTGTGTACTTTCCTGCCTCCGTGACCTCGGTCCGTGCTCTGACTGCAGTGATACAATCAGCTGGTTATCCATTAGCTCTTGCCGACTACACTTTCTTGCCACCTCATCTCACTGCATCTTAAAGGGAACCTTAATTCAGGCAGAGTTAAGCATGATATATTGTGCAGACAATTCTGGGTGAAGAACTGCACCTCAAAGGCCAAACAAGTAGTTTTATCTATCATTTAATACAGCTGAATGATATATGCATATGATCTGTAATAAAAGACAAAACATTGTTCATTGTTTGACCTGATTTTTTTTGTTTTGTTTTGTTTTGGTTTGTTTGTTGCTGGCCTTATGAGTTAGGGTTACCAAAGTTGTTTCTAATTTCCAACTACAAGACAGATGAAGAAATTACTTTTAAATTATCATTATTTTTTATTAATTTCTTAATCCTTGGGTATAATTCCCAGATCCCTGAATGTGCCACACTTATCCATTCAAATATGCCAGTATGAACACTATGGGAATTTCCAGCCATCGTTTCATCCATTAAGGCGGCAGGTTCTGTGTCTCACATATGAACATATTTTAATCCAAAATGTGCAAAACAATCTCAGAAAAAAAAAAAAAGAACTTGTGTTGATGCTGGAAAGACAATATCACTATCCACAGTTAAATCTGATCACATGGATTGAAATGTCTCTCAGTGAGAAGGGCGACATAACTCCAAAACGTGTCTCCCTTATTATTCTGGCATTTGGCTAATTAAAATAAATGAGGCAACTCTAGCTGACTTAAAACAGGAATGGATTATTCTGATTTAGTATCAGACAGTAGGGGGAAAAAATAGTATACATTGTATACATCTTCAACTTTGATTTAAAAGCTTGTACTCTGTGTTTTATCTAAAGCTGAAGCAAGGTGAAACGTTAAACTTTAATCTTCTTAACCCAACCAGTCTTACTGGCTATATGTAGAAGAATATTATTTATTTTGTTGATCAGCCATAGATGATTAACGACATTACTTTTTATCTCAAACATTCAATTTGGTTTCAGTTTATGTGTATATATCACCAAGTCAGAACAAATTTCATCTCAAGGAATGTTACAAAGAAATGAATTCAGTTCATTCATACAGACAAATTCAAAATCACGTTTGATCGCCTTTATCAAACAATCCAGCCTAGATGAGTTAAACATTTAAATGATAAAAAAAAAAACAAACAAAAAAAACTTCTGTCTAACGGATCCCGGACGATGGCATCAAATCACTGCCTTGCAGTGACAAATCCCCTTAAATAAGCAGGTGACAGAGAGCAGTGAGTTGAACTGAGTCTCTTACTTTTCTGCAGACCGTCATACTCAACATGGCTCAATGGCAGAAAAGGTGGTTGAAAAGAATTTTCAATTATTGCACTAAAATAAAGATTTATGTTAAGTTTTATTTTAAAATCTATTGAAAGAATAAACATGCAAAATCTATTTGAGAAAAACAATTTTAATTTATCAATGTATGCCTTAAAAAGCCATCAACAAAAAAAAACAAGCCTTATTAACTAATAAACAAAAGCAACTACATAAACAGGACAACTACTTTTGACTGAGAGTTAGGATGAAGCAACAACTGCTTTTCAACAGCGGATTAGCACCCTAAATAATCATAATAATGCCAATAATAAAAAGTAAAGAAGACAAAAGTGTAAGAAGCAAAGAATAAACTGAATACAATCTCATATCAAGGATGGCATGGACAGGAGTACAGACTTAATTCATTCTACCCCATCTCTAAATTAAATATAATTAACAAAAAAAATGTATGTAATTCAATTCAGTTTATTTATATGACACCAAACCACAACATGTCATCTCGAGGGATTTTACAAAATAAGTCATTACAATTCAATCATACATACATTCCAACTGATCCTATCAAATAATTTGCTCCTTTATTCAAATTAGCTTAAAAGTACGTTCTTACCCAGAACCTTTTTGGCTTCATATTAATACAGATATACTTTTCTATACTTCGTTATCCACTTTATATGCGATTTCCAACTAATTTGTCTACGATTAGCCATTGGGTATATCAAATATATTTTAGTCGTCTCATTATTTATAGCCCAGTATAATAAAATATTATAGTGCCATCTGCAGATAAAACTAGTTTAAGAACATATACTTTGCAAAGATCATGAAAAACAAACAATTTTGGGCCCAACACTGACCCCTGGGGGACTCCACAAGGAATGTTCAAACATATGAGACAAAATTCATTCTTCTTAACAAAATGTTTTCTGATCATCAAATACCTCCATACCCATTATAATACTGCTCATCTGATTACGTACTACTCAAGTTTCATAAGTAAAACGTCAAGATTTATTGTGTCAAAAGCCATTGTTACGTAATTGAATGTTTCAATTTATCTAGTGAATCTATTAGTGCAGATGATCTATTTTCTCTAAATCCATATTGAGCTTCAGTAAGTACCGTAAGAACGTCCAGTCTGTTATTAAAGTGTTTCTAGAATTTTTGAAATTTGTAAGAGTTATGGTTAATTATTTGTGAAGAGGCGTTTCTTCCCAGATATATATTGGAATTACTTTTTGCTGCTTTCTTTTTTCTTAGAGCAGCACCCATTAAACATGATAAATTGCGAAAGTAGGTCAGCGTTTTAGAAATTCCAGTGATCTCTCTATAATCGTCTTGTGAATATCATCATTCTTAAAAAAAAAGAAAAAAAATTAAGAGACTTGAATTAGCTCCAGGTACAGTCTAAAAAGATTTTCTTTTTTTTTTTTTTTGCATATCCAAGATAAGTAAGGGTGAAAGCAACACTCATAAAATATGTCAACTCATAAGCAACCAGTGGAAAATGTGTTTCTGAAATTTGTTCTGGTCATGCACTTGACTTTCAGTTATAATGAGAGAGCCCAAAGGCAGACAGAGAGCAAATAGTTTGAACCTGAGTCATACTGCTATACAAATGTTAACAACCCTTCAGTGATTGAACTGAGATAATGTTGTTCTTGAGTCCGTGTCAAAGTCTCACCTGCTTTATATATCACTAAGTGACCTGGAATAAGGAGCAGGTGTAATGAATCTAGCTAGTAGTAGAAAATCAAGCTAGGACATATCAGTACTTTATTTCAACCACATGTTCCCCTTCTTTATGTTTTCTTTTTTTAATGTTTTGTACATCAAACTAAGCCATTCAGTAAAGAGCACAACTTCATAGATTTAAATAAAATAAATAGATGGATGTTTTTTTCTTCTTCTTCTTTCACTCCCTCAGAGCACTCAGTGGCAGCCAAAACCGGAGGATGTTTCCCTGGCGACGCTCAGGTCACCATTGAAGGTGGGCGGATCAAACAGATGCGTGACCTCCTCCCCGGCGACCGTGTCCTTGCGTCCTCCTCAACAGATGTCCACGCTCCGCTCCTCTACAGCCCCGTTGTGTCTTTTCTGGACCGCCAGCCCAATGCCACCAGGACCTTCTATGTTATCGGGACGGATGGGGGGCATAACATCACCCTCACGGCCGCTCACCTGATCTTTGTCACAGAATGTCCCAGCAGACTGATCGGGTCAGGGCAGAAAGAAACATCTCAGGACACAAAGCTTTTTGGTTCCATTTGGCAGAGGAGGGGACATGAGGCAGGTATGAGGACAGTTTTTGCCAGCGAAGTCCAGCCTGGACAGTGTGTCTTTACATCTTCTGGCAGATCAAAGTCAGATCCAAGACTCTCAGTTGTGACGTTTGTTGAGGAGCAGACAAGCACTGGGCTGTATGCCCCGCTCACCCAGCATGGGTCTATAGTGGTGAACAGCGTGTTAGCATCTTGCTACGCTGCCGTGGACAGTCACTATTTGTCCCACTGGGTCTTGGCTCCTTTGAGACTTATTTACAGAATAACAGGACACTCTCAAGTGCAGAACGATGGGCTCCACTGGTACCCCTGGATTCTGCAAAGGCTGGGGAAAGTGCTGCTGGGTACTGAACACTTCCACCCTTGGGCCTTTGACCAGTGACATAAACTTAAGGAGGACGAATAAATATCAGACCGGTGGCATATTTTATTTGCTTGCATGCAGGGGCACAATATGGAAAAGCACAACTGTTTTTAGAAGAAGACTGATCAAAAGTGTAAATATATTCTATACGTACTCCAAGTGCCTGTATTTGCTGTACTTCAATAAATCTCTTATGTATGTCTTTGTGTAAGACATTGAGGAGGGAATAATTTCAATTGCATTAACATAAAGACTGACAACTGGAGCTCTTATTCAGCTAAAACAGGTATTGTCTCTAAATTGTTCAATTCCTTCTGAAAACCCTCACTGTTTGTGTATAAACATGATCCCCGTTTTGGGACACTGAAAGAAGAAGGTTGACACACACACAAAAAAAAATAAATAAATAAATATTTGAAGAATATTAAGGGGGAGAGTGAGAAAAGAGAAAAGTTTATAAAGCTGACGAGCTTTTGTATGTAAATAGCTATTTATACACTTACAACTATGTAGGAATAATGTAAAGGTTTACTTCCAGAATTATCTCCTTCATCGCTCTTTGTAAAATCTAAGCCTTGTTATTTCTTTTTAAAGTCCACTCAGTGTGGTGTAGAGCATTGATACACAAATTGCTACACATTTATAAGAAGGCTTAAAAAAAAGCCACTAAATGGCAGGGAATGAAAGTGTGTATAAAGCCACGACTTTTTCTCTACAGATAGTTGTACGGTGAACTTGCTCACCTTCTCAGTTGTTTTCAAGTCTTCCATCAGTTTTAAAACTACTTGATCTTTCTCTTATTCACATGTTTATCTACAATGTTTATGTTTTTTTTTATCAGGTGTATTATTGAAGAGATAATTGTTTGATCATTGTCTTAGGGTGTCACTTTTCAGGTCAGTAATATGACTCAGGCTTTTTTCAACTACTGTATTATCTTCTATGCATCTCGTTAAATATCAGTAATTATCACAATTAGTACATAGAAAAGAGTTTCTAATTTAACAATGCCAATATCAGATTATTGTTTGTGCTTCATCTCTTTTGAAACACCCACATTGGAGCAGCAAATTTGTTTTATCAATGACAATATTAATTTTATGGAAGGCTGTATAGAAATGTAGAAATATCTAATATATATTTCAGATTGCCTGAACTGTTTCTGGTGTTGACTTTTAAAATGGTTAATGAAAAGACACAATGCAATTATCTTGTAACTCCAAGGCATTTTTCGCAGGAATATTGTCAAATATGTATATTAAAGCTATTGGATAAACTATTTAAAGATCTATTTTTAGAAAAATGTTGTTTGTATTATTATTTTTGGCAACTTTGTATATAAATTTTGTATTTGACACATAAAAGTTTTAAAGAACGAATTGTGTCCTGTCTTGTTTATTTATTTTCTCCTTTTTGGAGTGTAATAAATTGATAATCATGTCTGATTACTGGAAAAAGTTTTTTTTTTTTTTTTTTGCCTTTTACATTTTACGGTCCAGGTGAGAAAAGCATACACATTATACTTGCTCAAACGACATCCAACGACTGACTATCTGTTGGTAAAATTACTTATCATTGTTACCAGCATAATGCATGAATGACTGTGGTTAAAGGGTGGTCTGCTTGTTGGTTTCAGTACCAAGGACAGCAGCACCATGTGAAGTTCCACTTTGCTGCTGTGGATGATAGGGGCTTGTTTTGTTTTTCTTCTAGGGTGAAGAGTTACTATTTGAAAACAGCACACTCTGCTGGAACTCCACATATTTGCAGCAAAATCCAGTTACTTGGAACATAATTTAAACCACTTGGGCTGTTTCCATTTTGATGTACTACCAAATTAAATAAAGGATAACTGTTATTCTTTCTTGTTGCAATTTGAAAATTGAAAATCTTAAAAGTGTCGCATGCATCTTTTTTACCCTAATGCCCCTAAGTAAAGTTTTGTGCATTCATTTGATTTCAGAGTTCACCTTAGCTTTACGATGGGCTTCATGAAGGCCAAATCACACTGCAGACAGGTCACAAATAAAGTTGTTGAGAAGTTTACAGAAGGGTATGCTTTTGCAAGACACAGTAGACCAGTTTGCTTAAAAGATGACCAATCAATAAATGTAACTATGAGATAAATCATATGTTTGTTTTCCTCCTAAACATGATTACACTTACTACAAAGGAAGATAAAAACAGTAAAGCAGATTCTAAGTAATCTTTATTATTACTGGTCATTTAGGTACAGGGAAAAAAATAAAATAAAAATCTTTTTGTCATATCCCAGATACAACCATTAGAGACTGATCCATAAAGCTGGAGACAGAACCAGACCCAGGTAAAACATTCCAATTCATACACAAAATTTGAGAACAAAGCATGACTGTGTGATTTACCCAAATATGAAGGTGGTTATTCTCACATTTGAGATTTTTTTTTCAAATACACATTGAAAAAAAAAATCCCATCCACAGTGGCTAAATACTGAAAAGCATTAAAAAAAAAATTGTGCACCTGAGTCTGGTTGTATGAACTTTATCTCTATGAGTCCTGCCTCCCTTATAATTAACTCTGCTTTGGACCACGATACCTAGAAACATTTTGAGGCACGGCAGATGGGGAAAAAAAAAAAAGAAAACAAAACAAACAAAAAAAATTTGATAAATGTATGAGAAAGTGTTGAAAAGAAAACCATGTAATGCCCGCACCATCTCTCTTACCAAGAGTAGCCATAAAAAAGTAATAAAAAATATAGAAAGAAAATAAATAGCTTGTTGCAACTGCCTCAAAAGTGACCCAAGTATCACCGCCTTAAATTAAGGGTGTTCACACAACAACACGTGGAAAGTCAGCATGCTCACAGTTACTCACATACAGATATGAATGTCTTCTTAGAATATGTATCTGTCATCACAGCTTGGAAAAAATTACACTGATACACAACAAATGCACTATAACACCTGGAACCATAATACCAGCCAGTGGAAAAAGACCCATATGTTTGCCTCTGTAACATCATATAACCTTCCCATTAATGCAGTTGACTGTATTCCTCTGTAAGTGGTGGTGGTATCGTTAATAATATTTTCCTACAGATAAACATTTGCATTCCTCAGACACCGCACATACTCACTCGCATTCTCTCTCGTGCCTATTACACACTAATAACCTAATGAGATTTGAGACTTTTAAGTTAGAGACTGAATGAACGACTGGGTTAGTACTACATATCTATGCATCTACACTGAGAGCAGTGAACCCCAGATAAGTACAAAATACTCCAGATCATCCTCAGTTGGCAATTACGTCGACATAGTTACACTAGGCTATATGTAATCATTGCTCGGCAGCGTATAAAAATAAAAGAAGTTGCTCTGGTGCATAATCTTAAACATCTGCATTGGAGTTTAGAAGTCTCTATGCAAACAGAGGAAACTGTTTTCGGCACTTTTTTTTTTTATGAGTTAGGCTGGCTCAGTTGTTATATATTGGACTATAATTAGTGTGTCATCTATTATACTACCAGCAGCAGCTTCTCTGTGATGCTGGCTAGCTTTATGGCCAGCCTGAGCAATGCATATCTGGAGTCATGTGAAAACAAGATCATACCACACAACTTCAAACTATTTCAAAATATATTATAGAGATTTCTATTTTTTAGCTTCTCGGGGAATTGTTGATGTTGGAGTCCCGTTGTCTGTCTGAATTTGCTGCTTTCTACATTTGTCACTATCTGATTTTTTTTTTTTTTTTTACAACAGGATTGTACTTATGCCACCACAGACTCGATACTAACACAACAACAACCAAGGGCCCCTTTTCCACAAGTAAACAATGAAAGTAAGAATATAGGAATTGCTGGACATGTCCTGAAGGCAATGTGTGAGGAGTTTAATAATCGATCAAATTAACTCCACCAGCAATGAGATAAGCGTCTTGACTGATCAGACGAGAGTATTATTAAAAGTTTTTTCTTTCTATTTATGTATTTAATTATTTATTTTTCAGTTTTGATTAAATAAAATTGCATTTTCTGGAATGGTACTTATTTTACTCTTTTGTGACTAGACTAATAAGTGAAGATTTTTGCCTATTTGGTCAGCTACAGAATAGCACTTTTGCCCCTTTTTATCTTTGTAAAACAAAATGTAGGTCTTATATTATTATTATATTCACAGGTAAAATGAAAGTACACCCTCTTTCACTTCAACACATTTATATATCAAAACTTAATCCCCCAAAAAACATTAGGTTATTTCTAGGTCTTAGGGAATTGAGGAAGTGTGAACTGTAACTAAAACGGTTTTGTTGTACTTCCCTAAAAATATTCCAAATGAAAATATTTAACATGATCTAATTGGCTTTGTTCAGACTAGAACAGAAGCACATTTGTACTGCTGTTAAATCAATAAAATGCATTGATTTATTATAGTTATAATAATGCTACTGTACATTTATATATTGAAAATTCGATTTTACATACAAGAAACAGTCCAAAATAAACAGCCTCAAAATTCAGGAGAGGCTTTGTAATCTTACTGCATAGGAAAATTATGTCGACCTAACCTCGCAAGCTTAGATGCGGAAAAGGTTTATGTCAAGAGTCCGCTTCACTGTCAGTGTTTTTCCTGCCTGAAAATACCTACAAACAGCCAAAGCAGGGTAAGAGCCTTCTTTCAGTCAGCTGACTGGCAGTGTGTGGTACCACATGGGGGACGGTCAGCATGGCGTTTCATACTTTCCCCTGCATCTTCGTAAAATAATTTTAAACCTATGAGTGGTAAAGCTAAACATTGTTGTATTTTTTTTTTTAAACTCTACTTTTTTTAAAACCTCGATACACCTTGACACTGATAACTGGTTCATGCCTATTAACAAACTAAAACGTGACGTATTGCACTGTCCTTCTCAAGTAAACCTTGTAACTGAAAGAGGATGTACTTACTTTTTACAACAATATTTTTTGGGGGGTTTTCTAGTACATCTGGCAACATCTTACATATTTTACACGGTTCTCAATCTGCCACAAAAATAACAAATCTTAAATTTCAGTTGATGCGACATGACACGACAAAGATTGAGTCATCAGAAATTGATTTCCGTTGTAGCCACTGAACAGGTTACTACCAGTACACGTGATCCTGAATGAGCAGGACTCCTCAAATGCAGAGCAGTGTGATGGCAAACAGACCCACAAAATGGCTACATCTGTTCATGAAAAAAGAGAAACGAAACGTAAATAAAAAGATCCACAGTGCAGCAGATCTTAGAAATGCATGACTTCATCCAGGGCTATCACAGCTCTGTTTATATGGCCAAAGTCCTTGGTAGGATACAGTATGGAGGGGGAAGAGAGGAGAAGGACATAAATAGGCATCAACAAAAGGAACGTGCCCCTTCTTTCACAGCCTCTGTGTGAAGTTTTCAGGAAATACTCCTTTAGTGGCATTTTCTTTTTTCTGCTGCCAATCGTCCTGCTTCAGTCCCATCAGCCAGCCGTCGTCCTACAGGAAGAAACAGGACAAATAAATGACACAGCTGCTTTTGTGCTTCTGGTATGTTAATACATGTGCAGTGCCAGAAGTTTTTTATTCGAGCTATTTTTCCAGTTTGGAAAAAAATCATCTACCTTCAACGTTGTATGAAAAACAGTGACAATAAATTTGTATTCTGTCACACAATGACAAGAACTATTTTAGTGGTGTTAGTAGAAGGTTTTAATGATTTAATGGCAGCATTACATGGTGGGATTCCTTAGCTATTTCGGAGATAATGAGGTCACGTACCTGTTCATCTGGATTGTCGAAGGTGACCACTAGCACCACATCACCAGCCTTCATCTCTAGTTCATCCGTGTCATTGGCAGCATAATCATGCATCACCTGGACCTTATTTTTTAATCACAAAGGTTGATATTAATGAGCTTTTTAAATGTATCTGTTTATTATATCCTTAGCTGTACAGTCTTTGTAATTTATTTGTGTGTGTGTGTGTGTGTGTGGGTGTGTGTGTGTGTGTGCGTGTGTGTGTGTGTGTGTGTGTGTGTGTGTGTGTTTATTAACCTTTTGCCCCTGTCTCTGCAGAATATCTCACAGATCCCCAGAGC